AAAGGTTACGTGATTTTAGCACGTGACAACCCCCCTCTCCTTGGAGTAGGAGGGTATCTACAGAAAAGATAACCGACGATAATAAATAATGTTGAGCTACCAATAACCCATAGAGATAAGAATCAACATGGTAATAATTTACTTATCTAAGCAAGGTTGTTCGGATGGTAAAGCTTAAATGATATAAAGTGTGTGGACACATGGTGGACTTTTACCTCTGGCAGTTTTCCCGCCACGGGCAAATTCTAAGGCCCAGCCCGTAGGGCCAATAGAGAAGACAACATTATTAAAGAAGGAGAATAACAGAGATTATAGCGAGTTGAACAGACTAAGGTAAGGCAAGTAAATAACAATGTTGGCTATTCCGTGTCAGTAATGTCTGTGGAAGATGGATCGCAATAAAGTTTCAAATCCTGAACATGCCATACACCTTTAGGATTACCCTGCTGATCTTGAAGTTCATACGACCAAGAGCCACACTTCCGTCTTATTATGAATGGTCCAAGGTATGTTGGTGCTAACTTGGCGCTAAAATAATTAGAAAAATCAGAAAGGACTTTATTTTTACGCGAGACCTTAAAATTATTATTATTATTAATTAAAAGAAACAGGACGACGACGCAGATTGTACCTATTAGCATTCCGCGTTCTCGTATATTTTATCCTGGCCTGAACTTGTTGGTACATTTTCAAGAAACCCTCCTGACGCTTTCTTACATAACAATTCGCATAAACTTTTTGTGATGGCAACTTGACTAGATGATCACTTCCATATATGTAGTTTATGTTCTCTACCAAACAAAATAAAATATGTTCAATCCTTGTTATTTCAGACTACTTCAGTAACCCAATTTATTTATTCCCTTGTCGATCGGCTAAAGTTAAATCCTTAGTTTAAATTTTTGAGAGTAGACCTAGAAAGGTAATATATGACCTTTTCACCTTCCTCGAATTCTTGGGTTAAAACTGCTCCTAAACCATAGTTTGACGCATCGGTGTGCAAGTAAAATGTTCTACTGAAATCAGGGGCAGTCAAAATAGGGGCGGTCACTAGACGTTCGTTCAGTTCAGTAAAAGCTTTCTGACAATCTGGAGTCCAGTTCCACTTAGGGGCAAGTAGTGAAGAGAAATCTGGTTCAAATCGTCTATACCATGAAGCAGTGCCCACTAGTCTACAAACTCCAGTAACATTCTTAGGAGGTGGGATGTTCACGATAGTCCCCACTTTTTCGGGATCTGGTCGAAGACCCTGACCGTCAATCAAGTAACCTAAGTACCGCAGTTCTGGCTTACAGAAGTGACACTTCTCTAACGATACAACAAGTCCAGCCTCACGGAGACGATCGAAAACTAGATCTAACAGTTGTAAATGTTCAGAAGAAGAAGCAGAGAAAATAATGATGTCATCTAAATAGACCATCACATTAGGCTCCAGTTCAGGACCAAAAATTGTATCTACAATACATTGCCAAGTTGCGGGTGCATTGGTTAAACCAAGAGGTATCCTCCTAAACTGAAAAAGACTTCTACCTGGTACAGTGAATGCCGGAAGATTCGCTCAAAGGTACTTGCCAAAAGGCAGAATTAATATCTATAGAACTAATGAATCGAGCATTTCGTAATCTATCCAAAATAGTTGAAATATACGGAATAGGCCATGCATCTTTCTTAGTGACAAGGTTTAATCGGCGGAAATCTATACAAAATCTAAAAGAGCCATCCTTTTTCGAGCAAGACAAACAAGACTAGACCAGGGGCTATTCGATCTCTCTATCACACCCAATTTAAGCATTTCTTCAACTTCATCATCAATAAATTTCTGTTTGTAGGGAGACACCGGATAATAACGTTGTTTAATCGGCTTCGTTCCTGGTTCTACAATAATCTCATGTTCTGTTACCCTACAACAACCAAGCCCTGTACCCATCTGTAAGTTTTTCATTAACTAAGCTGTCCAACTGAGTTTTCTCAGAAGATGTTAGGTGACTCATATTCTGCATACTACAGATTTGTGTAAGATCATTAGATTTAGAAAAATTCCAAAGATCCTGGTTAAGATCAGGGATGATTTCTATAACCTTCCAGAAGTCTATACCTAAGATTATTTTATGTGATAGCTCAGGAAGCACAATCACATCGATAATATGAGTTTGGCTCATTAAGGTTATCGGAGTCTGGATATAACCTATACTATGACATGCTTGACCATTCGCCACTGTACATGAACTTAGTTGTTTGATTAACTTATGACCCAAGCTTAGAAGTATTTCATAACCTGATTGTCCAACCAATGTACGACTAGCACCGGAATCAAGTAAACCCAACATTGAATAACCCATTATATCGATTTTAAGATAAGGACGTTGATCTCCATGGGCATGTGAAACAACATAATCGATGAGAATTTTATTTTGAAAATCAAGAGTATTGGCCGCTAAAGGTATTGAGTGGGAGGAAATAGCACGACCTAACGATTCCTCCGGGACTCGTTTCTCGAACTACTACAGTTGGGACAAGTCCTAATGGTTACATTTGGTGCACCACAGCGATAACAATGAGTTTTCCTTTTGGTTAGGACAATTGCGATTTATATGTCCTACTTTTTGGCAATTCCAACAAGTAACCCTACGCGATGACTCGTTTTGGGATACCTCAGCAACTTTATTCGCATTTTCAGGTTCGCGATAGGTAGAAGGATAGGGATTTTCCGTCTCTACAAATGCAAAGTCAGGCTCAACAAACTGTTGCCGCTGTAACCGACCAAGTTATCAATTTCTAAATTCGTTGAAATAATTCATCATACCGCCTACCCTTGTAAAGATTCGTCGCATCCATAAAATAGAAATAAACATAAAAACTAAGGGCAGAACAAACACTCGCATCGCAAACCACCTAGTGAACGCAAAGGGAAACCAAATTCATATTACGATGAAAATAGATAATAGAACCGGATGCTATAAAGTTGGACTTTTCAAATATGCCGGGACAAAAACAGGGTTTGGAGATATATTCTGTAATAACATTTGGTTGCTATAACTATAAAGTTACAACCAAAGGAGAACTGAGAAATTTGAATCTCAACCATTTGGTTAGCAGATGTTAGAAACTACCCCGAGCGCTGAACGGTCACGCGTCAGAGGCGTATCATGGGATATCTAAGACTTCCGAAGGCTAGCATATTACAAAAAAATTGTCATAATTGTGGGAAAATATGAAAAAGAGGAGACAAACAGCTAGGTTTTTAGTAGAATTTTCCCCTAGCTGATAATAGCAGGTGCGCCAGGCTGGATACAATTCTACCTTCTGTCAACGTACGCGCTGACAGATGCGGTTTGGAAATTATCATTAGAGAGGAGCAGGTGAAACTAACGAAAGACTGCGTAGTTCCAATTAAGCTAATTTTGTTAAAAATATATAAAAAAATTCCAGAAGAAAGTAACCGTTAGTTTTACCTAAACGCTATGTACAATTTTATAATTATTTAAGAGGACATCTCGAATTGTGGCCTCAGCATTACGGGAATTCCCAATCCATTGAAATTATTGAAAACCGCAGGGTTTGCTCCAAAGCAATTAAAGCCACGAGACGCCACTGAAGGGAACGTGTTGTGTAAACTTAAGGGAAGACTGTACGCTGACGACACTCCTTGAGGTGGGACAAGGGAACGTAGTTAACCAATAGAGTTTAAGGCCATTTTGGGTTCAAAAATTAAGTCTAATAATCATTGGTCAGGTTAGTTTCCATCTTTAGACAATCAGACGCCGATTGCAAGGGTTGTAAACTGATCGACCAATGAGGAGACAAGCGTTGAACTCACTGAGTCAAAATGACCAGCCCTCTGATGGACGGGAAAATCCGCAACTGATCTCCGATAATTTTGAAACTAAAAACTTCAGTTCTTCTCTTATCTTTGATTTGCACGGTTGAAAAAGTTGCTTCTATTTTCCCTCAGTTAGTGGCTGTTAATAAGTGTTGTATTGGTAGAATTTGTGTTAAGTTATGTTCTCATCAGTAAGCACTTCCAGTTACTTGAAAGGGGGCTTTTCCCTTCTTTATCAGCCCTTCTGGCTAAAGCTAACACCGAGTCAACTAAGGATTCTACGCATTAGCTTGATTAATTACCATTGTAAAGTTGAGATTCTAGAGTTTAATTTTGCTATTAGGTTCAAACTTAAATTTATTGTAATTTAGTTGTCACCGTTCCTTTTAACTTAGTCGTAATTCATTCCTCCACTGATCTTTTCCCCAGCCTATTAGTTTTACGAAGTTAACTGTTATTTGTCATTGATACTTCACTCTTCACGAGTGTATAGATGTTTTGAGTCTGTAATTCAATTATTAATAAAAATCAGTCTCCTTTAACTTGAGTTCCATTAATTTCATTAACTGAAGCTAACTGAGTTCGAGAGTTACCACATTCTCTGATTAGTTGGAGAACAGAGGAAGCATCATTCCGCGTAAAGTGAGTGTTTCAATGAGTCAAGATTATATTACTTTATGTCAGGTTCTACGCGAGTCTACCTCCTATAGGAAGACAAGTAAAAGGTAACAGAATTTGAAATTCGAGGGGTCTCGGACCAGTCCAGAAATTGAAGTATTGGACTGGAGATCCAAAATATATATTCAAGGCACAATATTGAGAGGTCCGGGAGTCTCGGACGAAGATCCTGTTACATCGCTTTCGAGATGGAGGTACATAATTCTCAACTCTATATTTCTTAACCTCAAGCTTAAGACATTCGACCTCAAGTTCTTCCAAGGTACGAACAACTGGGATCTGGGTAGTATAAAATGGTGACAAATTCCTAGATAAAATATCTAACTGAACCTCTTCCGTTAACCCTTTGAGCCCCACTGGTTAGCACCAAAAACCATCTTTCAAAGCTCATTTTGCTATTTTCCTAACGGTATCCCTGGCTAACCATAGTGTGTAACGTGTTGCCTAATGCATGCTGAACCTGTATTCAGCGGAAACAAACGAAATAAACTTATATTTGGTGCGTATTCCTGCTTCGTATAACGTCAAATGTCCAAGTAGGTTAACGGCTAGTACAGGGTGAAGATATTATAGATCAATTAGTAGTTTTTTGGTGAAAAAGTGTATAAAAATGGCTGGTAAGTACAAATAATCTGTGTATATGGCTTATTATGGTCGAATTTTGCACGCATCTGATTTCTGATTCGCAAAATATCACATTATTTATGGTGGTTTTGTGTAGTAACCACTAGGAAAGTACCCAACTTTTGTTTTTTGACAAAAGTTATTTATGTGTTACTTTTTGACAATTTTTAATGTCAACTAATATTTTCTGGTTTCATTTACGTGACCCATTCTTTTCAGCGAAAAAAAAATGGTCGATCGCTGAATTGGAAAGTATGAGCCTAGCTGATATTTATAAAATTGTAGAGGATGTAGACGAGGTACCTAGTGATAATGAGTCAGTACTAGATGATCTGGACGCTGTTATGAGTGATGAAATACCCATTACTCAAGAAAATGCTGACCTAAATAATGATCTTTTCAATCTTCGGAATATGGATGTCATTTTTGAGGACTTTATCGAAGATGAAAACTGCTCTTTAGACAATGCGCAGTGGGAAAGTGACGATGATATTCCACTAGCTAGAAGAAATGATATATTTCTGCCTTGCTACTGGACCAAAGATACAGTATACATCAACAAACCAAGCAAATTTGAAGAAGAGGCTGGCCCCAATTTGCCTGATATCATTGAAACACCTACGGACGTTTTTTTGCACCTATTTCCTGAAGACCTCATCGACCATATTGTTTTTCAAACAAACTTATATTGTGTACAGAAATTTGGCGATGGAAGAAACTTCGTTCCTACAACGAAGGATGAAATCAAAGTTTTTTTCGCTGTAAACTTGCTGATGGGTGTAAAAAGGCTACCCAGTTATAAAGATTACTGGTCGTCAGATGAAGTGCTCAGAGACTCATTTATTAGTGGCTGTATTTCCAGAGACCGTTTCGCATGGTTACTAAGTAATATTCACCTCAATGATAATTCCGTACAGCCCAAAAAGGATCAGTCATCATATGACAAACTTTATAAAGTGAGGCCACTTCTTTCCAGATTACAAGAGACATTTCTTTCTTCACTAAAGCCAAATGAGTTTCAGTCAGTAGATGAATCAATGATACGGTTCAAAGGCCTCAGTAGTATCAGACAGTACATGCCAATGAAACCCATAAAGCGCGGTTATAAGGTTTGGGTCAGAGCAGATTCCAGTGGATACATGTGTGAATTTCAAATCTATACCGGCAAGGTGGATCACGCTCCAGAAAAGAAATTAGGAGAGAGAGTTGTTATAGATCTAAGTAGAAACTTGGTTGGAAAAAACCACAAGATTTACTTTGACAACTTTTTCAATTCTGTCGAGTTACAAAGACAGTTGATCAACAATAAAATATACTCCTGTGGTACCTTACGAAAGGGTAGAAAGCACTGTCCTGAATTCAAGTCAGACAAGGATATGAAACGTGGTGAAGTCGATTGGCATGTTTCCAAAGATGGTTTAGTTGCCCTGAAATGGGTAGACCGACGTAGCATACTTATGTTGGGAAATCACAATGATCCCTCTGTTTTTGATACACCATCTAGAAAAAGAAAAGACGGCTCTCCAGAGGATATACCATGTCCCCAGATGGTTTGTGAATACAATGCCCATATGGGCTATGTGGATCGCTTTGATATGTTGAAAAGTCTCTATCAAGTTAACAGGAAAGCACATAAGTGGTGGCATAGAATTCTATTCTACTCCCTAGATGCTTGCGTTGTAAACAGTTTTATACTCTTCCAGCTAAGAAGTAACTCTAAGGGATTAACTCTGAAAAAAATTCGACTGTCTTTGGCACGAGGTCTCATTGGAGTAATAGAACCCACTAAACGAGGAAGACCATCTTTTGCACCTACTGTAAATAGATTCAAGAAGGTGGTACCCTATGAAGTACGATACTATAAGGCTTCTCACATGCCTGAAAGATCAACATCTCTTAGATGCTCCCACTGCAGTACACTTGATAATCCCCATAGAACTATATGGAAGTGTTCGACGTGTCATGTGGGATTATGCTTGAATAATTTTTTAATTCTTTTTTGAAAGTGTACCTTAGGTCCTGGTGCTTAGCGTTGGTGACCACGTCCTGAAGGATAGCTACACATGTTTATTTGAGAGTACTTTGTTTTAGAGGTTTATTTGTACTATTTTTAACTCAATAAATTTTAGGAGTTTGTGAATTTTAATTAATTTCGGGCTCAAAGGGTTAAACCGCCATGACGCTTATATAATGCTTGCATACAGGACAAATAATCAACAGTACTCTTCGATGTATCTTGTGTTCTCTCTAATATCTCTTTGAAAAGTCTAGCGCGATAATCAGGAGGTTCAAAATGGCATTTTAACAAATCAGATACGCTTTTCCAATCAGTTACTCTATTTAGGTTTTCCCTAAACCAATTTTATGCTTTCCCAGTGAAAAAATCTATAGCCGAATCAAACAACTGTTTTTCAGTTACATTACGAGCTAACTGTAGTTCACTAACTCTTTCTAAAAAGTTATGAACAGAAAGTTGTTTTAAATCGCCGGAAAATTTTAAGTTCCATTTTTCTATGTTTTGAGACTTCGGTGGAACAGTTTGGACAATGGAAGGTCTGGATGAAAAATTATGTACAGTTGAATTATGATTAGGAGTGCTCTGGCAAGCCAAATTTTCATCAGAATTTTGAAAAAGAGTATTTAATTGAGGATCTTGTCTAGATACCGTCTCTAAAGAATCTGACGCTGCCAAAACATCCACTAACAGTTCAGTTCTTTGAGTTTTATCTTCTACACTAAGGATTGAATCAGTGATTCGATTAACACGGTTGAGGAGGTGGACCAACCTAGATTGAATGGTAAGAAATTTGTTATGAGGACCCTCCCCTGAAAGTGTACTGATGGTATCATTTGCCTCATCCAGCAATAACCGAATCTGCACCTTCTCATCGTCAAAATTAAGGTTATATGATGGAAATTTAAAAGTTCCAGCTCTTTCCAACTTTAATAGAGAGCGTAAAGTACTTCTCAATTTGTCAACTGTATGACTTTCGTCAACAGCAACTTCCGTTTTAAAATCCATCTTGACAACAAACAAACTAAGCTTACACCAACAAGAGAAATGCAATAATCAATAATACCACAATATCAAGTAATATAATCAACAATAGGTAGTAAAGCCTGTAAGAAATTCTACAATCAATAAACTATGGAATTTGTTAAAAGAAAATCATTAAAAAGGGTTTCGTCTAGGAATGGGCACTCTATAATCAATAAAGAGACATTCAAATTACTCATAAGTTATCAAAACAGTAAAAAGAAAGGTTACGTGATTTTGGCACGTGACAGTATACGAAATGGATTCCCAAACACTAAGAAATTCCTTTACATTTTTGCACAATGAATGGAAAAGGTTTGGAAGAAAGCTCTGACATCTATAGATCGTTTGGCTTTTTTTGGCGATTATAGACATGCACACTTCATAGAGGAAAAGATTTTTCTCAAAATCGGTTAGTTTTTGCCTTACATGTTCCGCTTATGCACGTAGACAAATTTAAGCATTATCATCTTTATTCCATTCCTACTGTTAACCTAACTACCATTATTCCCAAAAATTCCTATTTCACAATGAGTACCAAAATGTACCAATATGATGCTGAACCATGTCAAATGATAGAAGATATTTTTATTTGCCACGAAAACAAATTGGTCCATGTAGCAGAAGAAGAAGACGATTGTCTATTTGCTATTTTACAAGTAAACAAAAAGAAGCCAAATTGTAACAAAATTCCCGTAACTCTTAAAATGGCCTTAATTGAAGAAGTTTCAGAGTCCAAATACATTGCTATTTTTCCGAAACCTGAAAAGCTGATAATCAAGTGTGAACAAGATGACGTCATAGAGTTAAAAGGCATTTACCTACTTGAAGTGCCTCACCAGTGCAGCATACAAACGAAGGACTACATTTACAAAAATCAAAAAGGAACAACCATGGAAAAGCCGCTGTTGCTTCCAGAGGTCCACATTTCATCAAAAACACAAAATCCAAAGGAAATCAAGTAAGTACATATTTCCTTAGATAAACTTCATCACTTGCAAGAACGAGCCGACCAAATCCAGGTAGATCTTCCCGAAACAGTGAAGCACCTCTACAAATGGAGTCTACCCCTGTATGCAATTATGTTAATTGGAATTGCATGCATCTTCGTGAAAAAGTATTACCAGAGAAGAAAAGGATCAAGAAGAAGCCAACATTTAGAAGAAATCGAAATGCAACCCCAGAGGCACGAAGTTTTGTTTGTGCCCTCCAAAACTTCATCTTAAGGGTGGAGGAGTTATGTTGCCGTCATTTAGCACTTTACTAATTGATATAATAATTGCATTGTATTCCTTTTTACTAGCTCATCACTTTTGGTTTATATTAACGATTGTATCTTAATTATGAGTCAGTCATTCAATCTCAGTCACAGCGAACACACACACTGTAATTCCGGTTCGGTCCATGTAAACTATTGTTGGAATCAAATAAGGTTTTTTAAAAACGAAGTTTGAAGTTCCGACTACATAATTCTGGCAGATAAACAAATAAGCTAAAAAATTCATTTTCACGCCCAAGGAAATGATTCCTCAAAATCAGTTGTTCCTCAAAAAAATACTCTATTATAGAGACAATTTATAGGCTGGGTGGCATGGTGTGACAAAACTTCTGAAATTCTGGCAGATAAAAAATATGCTCTAAAATTTATTTTCACCCCCAAGGAAACGGTTCCCCAAAACGAGTTGTACCTCAAAAAAATACTCTATCATAGAGACAATCTATAGGCTGGGTGGCATGGTGTGAGAAAGCTTCTGAAAGGCTGGGAGATAAAAAATATGCTAAAAAAATAATTTTCACCCCCAAGGAAATGATTCCCCAAAATCAGTTGTACCTCAAAAAATTCTCTATCCTATAGACAATTTATAGGCTAGGTGACATGGTGTGAGAAAGCTTCTGAAAGGCTGACAGATAAAAAAATATGCTAAAAAATTCATTTTCACCCACCCCCAAGGAAATGATTCCCCAAAATCAGTTGCACCTCAAAAAAATACTCTATTATAGAGACATTTTATAGACTAGGTGGCATGGCGTGAGGAAGCTTCTGAAAGGCTGGCAGATAAAAAAATCTGCTAAAACATTCATTTTCACCCCCAAGAAAATGATTCCCCAAAATCAGTTGTACCGCAAAAAATACTCTATTATAGAAACAATTTATAGACTAGGTGGCATGGTGTGAGAAAGCTTCTGAAAGGCTGGCAGATAAAAAATATGCTAAAAAATTCATTTTCACCCCCAAGGAAATGATTCCCCAAAATCTGTTGTACCTCAAAAAAATACTCTATTATAAAGACATTTTATAGACTAGGTGGCATGGTGTGAGGAAGCTTCTGAAAGGCTGGCAGATAAAAAAATCTGCTAAAACATTCATTTTCACCCCCAAGAAAATGATTCCCCAAAATCAGCTGTACCGCAAAAAAATACTCTATTATAGAAACAATTTATAGACTAGGTGGCATGGTGTGAGAAAGCTTCTGAAAGGCTGGCAGATAAAAAAATAAGCTAAAAAATTCATTATCACCCCCACGGAAATGATTCCCCAAAACCAGTTGTACCTCAAAAAAATACTTGATTATAGATACAATTTCTAGAATAGGTGGCATGGTGTGAGAAAGCTTCTGAAAGGTTGGCAGATAAAAAAATATGCTAAAAAATTCATTTTCACCCCCAAGGAAATGATTCCCCAAAATCTGTTGTACCTCAAAAAAATACTCTATTATAAAGACATTTTATAGACTAGGTGGCATGGTGTGAGGAAGCTTCTGAAAGGCTGGCAGATAAAAAAATAAGCTAAAAAATTCATTATCACCCCCACGGAAATGATTCCCCAAAACCAGTTGTACCTCAAAAAAATACTTGATTATAGATACAATTTCTAGAATAGGTGGCATGATGTGAGAAAGCTTCTGAAAGGCTGGCAGATAAAAAATCTGCTAAAACATTCATTTTCACCCCCAAGAAAATGATTCCCCAAAATCTGTTGTACCTCAAAAAAAAAATACTCTACTATAGAGACAATTTATAGGCTAGGTGGCATGGAGTGAGAAAGCTTCTGAAAGGCTGACAGATAAAAAATATGCTAAAACAATCATTTTCACCCCCAAGGAAATGATTCCCCAAAACCAGTTGTACCTCAAAAAAATAGTCTATCATGGAGACATTTTATAGGCTAGGTGGCATGGTGTGAGAAAGCTTCTGATTGCTCGCAGATAAAAAATATGTTTATAAATTCAATATCGA